ATATATATATATATATATATATATATGTTTATTTATTTGTTTATAGGCATGCAGTTGGAGTAATATTGCTTTTGTTCGACAACTTATTCTTGGTAACTGAATCTAACCCATCAAGTATCCGTTCTTTTGCATTTAAAGGTTTCTTTTGTAAAGAAAAACTTAGTAGATTTCTGTTTACTGGTCATTTAAACTAAAAAACTATTAGCTTAGGATCGCATACTTGTTCCAGCATTATACGTAAAGGAAGAAGAATTAGTATGCTGTTCCAAAACGGCCTTTCTCAAATTATTCTTTAACAAGAATTTTGTATTTATCCTACCGGTCTTACTAATTTTAACTCTTTACTGCAGCTGTCTAATATACATTTCAACAACCTTTGTTCATACTGAAAATTAGTGAGTTTTGTGATTCCAGCAAATATCGACCAAGGTTTGGAAGAAATACTAACCTCTGGAGGCTTTCTAAAGCTTCAACGGCAAAGGCTATGCCAATTCTTGAGCTAATCGAATCGCTGGACAAGGGTGACTTGCAAAAAGTCGCTAGGTTATTAGACACTAACCCGGTAAATACCCTACTAAAAGATTTTTCTTTAATCATAAATCTAATTAAGTGCTTCAATACTCCTGACTGTGACTTCTACTTTATATGAATAACAACAGTATTTGTGACTGCCATTACTGTGTACCCTGAACATCTCATTTTCATAAGTCATTACTACCTTAGAAGACATTAAAGAATACTGCACGTTGTAATTAAGTCCAATTAATATTTGCTTTATAATTCGTAATTACAGAACCTTTAAGTATTTTTTACTGTTGAATTACTGGAAGGAAAAATCGATTACATTTATATGATACAGTTCCATCAGTAAAAATTAGATGAATGAGTTTGAGAAACTATTTTGTAATAATAATTTTATTTGTAATCAGTCCAAAATAGCTTGATAACGTTGTCGATTCTTTGTTTTTTGACGCATTTTCTGACTGGAAGAGTGATATAAAAATAAAGTAAAAACATTTTGGAAAATTTCTAACACTAAAGATCAAAAAATTTGAACTCTTATGTCCTGTAATTAGACTAAAGCCGGATAAAGCTTTAGAAAAATGACACTTTTTTCAAATTTCAACAATAATGCGAGATTTAGTTTACTGGAATAATAGTATTTCCTTCTAAACTATTTTACCTACTTATTATTATTATGTAACTTGTCCAAATTTTATATTCAAATGTGAGATTTCCTTGTAACCTATTAATAAGTTTATCGAATGCCAAATATATTCACTAAACAAAAAATGTATGGATATTAACAAACGAGCTTTTCCAAACTTCATTGGTCTATAACGCAAAAAAAACTTACAGATTACCTTTAATAGATTTGGTATTTATCATACAAATAAGGAAGTTCAAAAAATTAAAATTAAGAAATTCGCTTAACAGTTTTATGCACTTTTATAGCGAAAATAAAAAAATTAGCTGAATTTATAATTTGAAAGAATTATTCTTTTAGTAGTTTAATTGTGATAAATATTCAGAAATGTTGAACGTTCTATAAATAAAGTTACACGCAAAAATTTTTTCAACATAGGACTTTACATGACAGTTTCCAAATAAATGCAACGATTAATTCTATAAATTTATTCTATTTTTTTATACTTCGCAGAACTTAGTTAGTCCTCAAAAACCGGTGTATTCAAGAAATATTGCCGCTCAATCAGCTAGCTTAAATAATTTTGTCGCCCTTAATTGTACAGCAATTTCTAAGCGTTCCATCAGCCTAACGCTGAAGCATTGGTTGTTGCTTTATCCTATGTTGTCTTTCCATCTCAAGTCAGAATAAATAAAGGGTTCTGCCGTCTAGAAAAAATTACTTAGAGTTTCGTAAACGTCAAGTCGTGTCTATCAAAACTTGCTAATGAAGGTTTGAAAATGCTGAAGGACTGAAAATACTGTATTGAGTATGCAACTTCTTCAGCAGCACTTAAATTGGCCTCAAAGATCTTGAAATTTGTCACCTAATTTAACAAGTGCCGCGCTGTTAATCAGTTCCCGGTATCAGTATACTATATGAGTAAGCGATGACTAGTATGCTCGAGACTCTTCCTGCGTCTTTTAAATTGTGCCAGTGATAAAGTAGCCAAACTCAAGTGATTATAAATGAGTTCAACAGGCCATGAAGCCTATACCAGAAAACCTCAGAACTCCAGTTTATAACTCAGGGACAAAACACCTAGTTATATCCTACATCTGCACTAACAGATGACTGAACCTTAATCTCAATTTTTGAAGCAATATGTTTTGGAAACCATACGCCGTCCAAAGTAATACCATAAAAATTATTCTTCAAGATGCTATTTGAACGAATACAATACAATAATATTTTGTCAGAACAAGTCTTCCGTACGAGAAAAAAACCCCTAAATCTTCCAGCATATATTTAGGCAGGCCCAGTCATATATATTAGGTTGTAGTAGTTTGTTTAGTGAGGAAGAAAGCAAAACGAGATAAATCAAAATCGAGGTTTCCATCACCAGTGGAAAACCTAAGACAAAAACTTTGTAAAACTTCAATGTTTCCCTCTTGCCTTATACTTGTATATCTTGAAAACAAAAATGTCTGCTTCTTAGGAGGATGTATCCATGCGAGATGGTGATGATAGAGTTGCACTTCACTATGCTGCTGAGGTCGGCGATGAAGAAACGTTTCAACGAATTTTGGACTTAGACCCTTCGCTAATAGACTGCCAGGATCATAACGGGTAAGGCTACAACGTTGGTATTTCCTCATCGTGGCAGTGGAACCTAATGTATAGGCTTTCGAAAAATGTAAAGCTGTTTGAGCATTCGCATCCTTAAGCCCTAATAAACTGTTGTATTTCTGTTATATTTCTGTTAAACTTCCTAATTTTAATCTCAATAAGTTTTTTCGCAGAAATTTAAAATTTGCCATTTGATAGGTATACGCCGTTCCTGCTAGCTTCAATGAGCGGGAATATATCGGCAATGGAATTACTGGCTCAAAGAGGAACCAATATCAATCACTTCGACAAAGATAAACATTCAGCTGTGCACTGGGCTGTGGTTTGCGGAGAGGTTTGTGTTTTCAGCATGCATATTAATTATACCACAGTTGTCTGTAAAATTATTTTTTACTGGTTATATTGAAGGTTAAATTATCAGCGCTCAAGTGCAGATTATCAATGTAGCCAGATTAATGGTATTTTCCCTCACACTTAAGCACAATTTTGCTTCGGTAGTATAACAACAATAATCAAGTTTAGAAATTCGTAAATTTACAGCTTGATGCGCTTGTTGTACTGCTGCGTCTTAATGCAAACGTAAATGTGGTCGACAATCAGGTTAGCTGCATCTAGATATTGTTTTGACAAAACATAAATTTGTTCCAACAGTGATGACAGCCATAGTTCTTTACTTGTGAAGTTCACCGCAACTATGACTTACAAAAAACATTCTTACATCTTTTAAACAAAAGAAGCAGAAGACAGCTGTCGGCAGTACTGTGTGAAAAGTGGAAAACCAAAGTTCAAGATTGTTCATTTTTCCAGTTCATAACAATGACTACTGCAAAGAAAGAATTCAAAATGAAGCAAGAATAGTACTTCTTGATTAATTAATTTTTTCCAAGGGCGCACAACCATTACACTATGCAACAGTATCAGAAGATGTGCCGTTGGAAACTAGCGCAGCAATCCTCCATGTACTTCTCAAAAATGGGGCAAATGTCAATGCTGTAGACTTTGATGGCCGAACACCGCTATTATGGGCTGCATGTAATGGTGAATTATAACCGTTATGATAAATTCATATCGCACTTTCATCACGTAGATGAATTCTTGTTTTCAGGTAACCCCGAAGCAATAATAGCCTTACTGCAAGCTGGAGCAAGTCGGACTGTAGTCGACAGAAACCAATTAGGGGTATTGCATTGTGCAGCAAGTCAGGGTCATGCTAATGCATTGCACATTTTAATTCAGTCCTCTGAACAATCATTAATTGACAGCGTTGATCGTAATGGTGACACGCCTTTGTTTTATGCAGTTTCACTTGGGCATTATGAATGCGCAAAACTTTTACTTACTAGTGGAGCCAATCCAAATCAGCAGGTAATGCTTCTACTAAAATTCCTATATTTTTATCAACTACTAGCTTAAAAAAACCAATCAAATCAGTATTACGCCATTTCCAAATTCCTAGGACAATCGTCTCAAAACTCCCAGTCACTGCGCAGCAGCAAAAGGACAATTACGATTGCTTAAAATGTTAAAACATTATGGAGCAAGTTTTGAAATTCAAAATAGACGTGGTGATATCCCGCTTCATGAAGCAATACAAGCAGGGTGTAAAGGTAAGTCCTAAACAGTAATATCATATCTTGACCCTTGTTCTGCACCCTTACTCTATCCCAAAACTGTAGCTGGAATATATTGCAACGTTATTTGCGCTTCAGAAATGCCTAGCTCTCTTTTCTAGTCTAATGCAACTTTTTATCAAATAGATATAATCGAGTGGTTATTGTCAATTCAACCCTCAACACTAAATGCAACGAATCATGCTGGTCGAAGCGGCTTACATTTGGCTGCTGCTACCGGAAATATGGAAATTGTTGTCTTGCTGTGTACAAAAAATGCAGAGATTGATCCATTAATGTTATCCGATGTTTATTTTATTTCCATCAGTCTTTTACTTATGCAAATGCTTAAAGTCTTTCTTTACTCTTTGAATCTTAGAGAAGGCGTAGACCATAAATAACAGAATTAACTTTTAAATGACAATAAAAAAAAATTTTAAAAGTTTTCAATTTAGCAACTATTTTCGCAGTAAATTTAGCTAGCATCTTATTCATGCTCGATAACAATTATAAAGACTTTTGAACTAAAGAAGCTGTTAAAGGGCAAACTGTATACTCCTCTGGATCTCGCCGAAATTAAGGGACATGAAATAGTAGCCGATTATTTACGAAGACGACATAACGCAAGGAGAGCCGAAGAAATGACCGAAACAGAGAGAGAGGAGTGGACCGCTCACTTAGAAGAGCAAATTGACCGAGGTGAGAATAATCAGAATAAACATCACCATCATAAGCTAAAATCTAAATTAAGCAGATCGAGAAAGAAAATTTTCAATCAAAATAATATCGAAATCAAAAGCATATAAAATTTGATTGGCTAAAATACATAACTGGTTTTTTAATTTTTGCCGATACTTTATCAGACTATGTCAAGAAAAAGCATTGAAAAGTCGAAATAAAGAGCAGAGGACTTGATGGTCATATAATCTGTATGCAGGAAAAATGCGGAATTCACAAAAAGCCACAATCAAAGTTGAATACAGTCAACCAAAAGGTTCATCGAAATTGGTACAAAGGCGTTACTCGCTGGAAGATGTAGTCGTGCAACCCCAAGAGTATCATATAGATCGACCGTGTACCGTATCTGCGGCCACAGATACTGTGGTCAGTGCAATTATTAAAGTTTGCCAAAATAACAGGAGGAAAAAATATTACCAAAACATTCGTGAAAAAAGGATTGATACAACTATTATAAAGCTGCAAAATTTATATTTTATTAGCTACGGAAACATACAAAACGCTGTTAGAAGACAAAAGTAAATCTTATTTCTGATTATATTTCTAGGCAAATGACTTTTAGGAAATGCCAATCCAACGGGTTAACGAGAATTTAATTGCATACCGTAATCTGATACCGAAATCAACTAGTACTACCGACCTTTTCCACCCAGAAGAAGACAACCCCTCGCAGGAAAAGATTCAACAAATTAAAGCTCTCGGACAAACCAATAACGAAATTGCCGATAAGGACAAGGAAAATGATGCTGAACAGAGCAGTGAAGTACAAACACTAAGAACAGACGCTACTACAAACACCGGTTCAGAAGAAAATGACCAAACAACTGAAGTGTTAAAGAAAGATCCAGAAATTGAGGAACAGAAATCCGAAGCTGCAGCAGAAGTAAGTATAAGCAATGATGTCATGAAGTTTATCAAAAAGAGCTGTTACCAGCATTCAAAAAATACAAGAACAAGAAACTGCTCGTTCATTTTCACAAGTTTTTCTTCATTAAAAACGCAATAAGTTGCATGTTGTTGAAAAAGTGATTCAAAATTACGCTCAGGTTGAAGAACCAACAAAAATCGCTGAAGATAACGAGGAAAATTCAAACGAAATTCCAAATATACCAAACGTTCCAAACAGCAGTAAATCTGCCGAAAATTCAGACAGTACGACCCAAAAAAATAGACGAGATAAGGAAGAAAAACTGGAAAATGATGAGAAACACCGAAGAAGGTCGAAAGGCATTACTGTTCCCAATGCATAAATTACCAAAAATTTTTCAGTATAAGAACTCTGACTAATCAAGACTCTGCCTGTCAATTTTTCAAATCAGAAACTTCTTTTTAGCCATAAATTTCTTGGAAATATTAGCTGATTTCAGCGACCCAGATGTCGATTCAACGGGAAGACGAAAAGAACTGGAAAAACGTAAAAGCATATCAAATAAGAAGGAAGCAAGTCGTAGGGAAGCCTCACAAAAGCATGCAGGCGCTAGTGCCACGCCAAACGATGAGCCAAGTAGTTCGCATGAAGTGATAACTTCTGAATTTTCTCAAGAAGCAGAAACACAACCCACACTCAACAGATTCTTTTACGGTGATGCCACTTCTTTTTCACTTAATTTTGCTTCTTATGTCGAAACACTTAACATTCTTTCAAAAAATAGCAAGCACACTACGCGATGTCAAAACTAAGAACTGGAGTCCTCCCAGTATCAAATCCTTAAAAATACGCAAAGAACCGGCTAACGGAAACAATAATAAATTACTACAAACTTCAGATTATTCAAGTGGTGAGGAGAACGAAGGGAGTAAGGCAAATGTGGACAAAAAACCCTCTCCAACTCCAAAACTGAGAACAGATTTAAATCATAGAGCTGCCGGAATATTCGAGGAATACTGTAGAAGAGAGCGCAACCGTCAAAGAATAAGTAGTTAACCATTCTTCTTTCGTCGTCATAAATTACCACACAATCCAAACCAATTAATAACGATAGTACATAAACGATAGTTTATAGAATTATCTCAAAAATTTAAAATAGTATATGAAGCTTCCAAAAATCGACATTCACACATATTGGACCCACTTTCAGGTGCAAATGCGCTGCAAGCAAGAGAAGCAGAAATATTTCAAGAACTAACTAACCTAAAGAAAGCCCAAATCCAATATGGAAAGCTCAAAGAGAAAAGTGCTGTGCGAACACTCATAAGGAGGTTTTGTAGAAAACACGAACTGAATCCAACGGAACTTAATTTCCTTACTTACAATAGCTGGGAGAAATTTCTACATGGTAAGCTTTGAACTTCACTTCAAATTCGCTACCTCATAAACAGCAACGAGTTTTCCCTTGTCCAAATTGTACCAGTAATCCACATCCAATAACTAAAAATTTTTGTTTGCTTCCTCTTAAGCAGTCACTAAATTCTTCAATTTTAAAAGAGGTTTCTTCAACAAAACAGAAGTTTTAATGAATAGAACAGCAATAACGAAATACATTCTTAGAGCAACTACGACTACTTTACGCCGAAGAAAAGAAACGTTTGCTATGTGCAAAAGCGACACCAAGCTTTAGGAACACCGGAAGGCAAGTTAACAGCAGAATAACAGTAACCTTAAATTAAAACGCTCACGTCACAAGCACAAAGTCCATCCGCCAGTCAAAACTGTTGAATTTTTCCAAAACACAGTGGCATTGACAACACTCATTAAAAAAATAGCAAAGCACCCAAACTTCTGCCAGAAAAATTGGTGGAAAAACCTATCTCCCCTCTGAGTTGATAATGTTATTTATTTTATGTTTGAAATGCGATTCCGGCAATCTCGAGCAACTCCCATAAAGGTCCCCACTTCCGAACTAACAAACTCTTACGACCGATCCGAAATAGGTTCGAAAAGCAGCCAAACACAAACACGTCGTCAACGAGGGCTCCAGTAATTAATATTGACACTTTTTTATTTTCTCTTACTTCAACATGTGCCAAAGAATCTCCATTAGCAAGATTTCCTTGCCCTTATTTCAAATTGTAAAAATAGTACAAGCGTCTTCCATTTGTCACAATGAATGAATAACAAATAAAATCACTAACATTTACAATTTCCAAAACTAAAAATAACAACTGACAACGTAACAAGGACCATATGTAACCCATAGGCAGAATTTTAAAATTCAGTAATATATTGATATCAAACTTTCCGGCCTGACTGACGCAGTAAATAATTTCTTAAAGTTTTTTGCTGATCCCTAAAACTGCGTTGTCGGTTCCTACCGCGGATCTTTTGCCGCACCATCTGGAAGTTTTTTCGTTTTGCTAACTGCCTGTTGGTCCTACCAACATGAGGTCCCTAAAATTCAAAATAATTTGAGTTGCAACAAATGCTATCCATTTGCAAGATGACAGTAGGGCCACAAGTCATGTTAGCTACAAATGCCCTAACGCCACCAACAAAGCCCACAATATTTTAGAAGAATTGAAGGGAGCTGTAATAAAGCTTAAACGGCAAACACAAGAGATGCAACTGGACTCCTAAAGTATCAATAGAACTAGGTGAAAACAAACCGCTTTTTTAGGTTTGCTATAAACATCTTTATCTGGGCGTCCTTCTGCGGCTTGTTTCATCCTCTCCTCTTTTGTCTGACGACGGATTTTTTTGTGAAAATGTTCTATGTCTTTCAGTCTCGGTAACCCATCACCTTCGTCAAGTCTAAATTATAAGGATCTTGCAAATAAGCACTTAAAAGAACATAACAATTGATTCCCAAAAAAAGTACCGAGCCATCTTTTCTTCCAATTCTTCATCCAGAGTTATGTCATCCAGTTTACGCTTTTGCTTTTTTAACAACTGTTTACCCGAAACAACCTGTTTCCTAAGTTGAAAAGCATGAATCTTACGAAACTCCTCTTGCGTTAATATACGGGATTCGCTAACAACCTCAGCCTTCTTTGCCAGTGACTCTGTCGTTGTTTCAGTTTCTGACTAAAGAAAAATTAGAGCATAAAAATCTAATAATGACAGAGAAGTTTACTATCATTTCCTGTTTACAATATGCTTGATAGGAATGCGGCTTCCACAAGAAAATTAAAATTCAAATTATAAAACCCTTTAGCTTTCAAAACCAAAAATGAAACCGCTCACACGAGCCACCGTTCAATAATTAAAGGTTGACCGAAATACTTTTTTGTTGAGCAGGTTTCCTGGTCAAAACCACAAACTGATTGTTCTTGAAAGTACAATTCAAACTAAAAAGCCAGATACAACGCTGACCTTGAACCGCACTTTTTTAGCACTGCTACATTCACCTCCAACAGAGCTTTCATTCTCCTCCAAATAACTTTTAGACTCTTCTTCACCCTCAGCATCTTCAGCATCTTCTTTGCTTCCTTCACTGTTTTCATCCGTAAAACTAGATTCAATCTCGGCATCAAAATCACCTTCATCATCTGTAAATTTAGTTGACATAAACGTAGTATTATCAACGACTGCTTCCTGTACACTGCAAAGTAAATTTAAAATTTGAATAGCTTAGACTAGAATAAGGTCTTTGAAATTCACAGAGCTCAAAGAGCAGACAAGAGATTACCAAAGAAACGAGAACTTTTAATCTGCTACAGACTTTTTGTGAAACAATGCCTGAGCAGTCTCAGGTTCTTAAGGGACTAGAATGATTGATAAAGGACAGTTACCTAAATCCGATAATTGATCTGAAAAATCCTCGGATCCAGATTCTTCATCCTGAAAACTTCAAAAAGATACTGATAATAGGAAATAGACAATAATGTTTAAAACTCAAAATGAGAAGCAATAATCCGAAACAGCATTTGAGGTAAGTTTGAAACAGACTGTACTTTAAAATCTTCAGCTTGCTTTGGCACTACCGATAGACACTCAGCTCCAGGCACAAAAGACTTGGCTTGCTGTTTGCCAAATTCTGCCACGACCAATTCTTTTGTCGACTGCGTAGGCCTAAAACCGATTAATTAAACTGTAACTGAAAAAACGACCTTTTATTAACGAATAAAACTAGCCTTCCTCTGTCTTTCCTGTACAACAATTTAGGATTTACAGTGCGGAAAAGAGTAATAAGCCCACGAGCAGCCATCGACACATTCTTGTTTTTATACTTCTTATACTGAAACAGGCATGCTT